TAATTCCAGCTGCTTGCTGGATTTATGTGTTTTGTTGGCTGAGACATGCATGACTTTGTACAGAATTGTGAAAATCTGAATGGGATTACCTGGAATAAAAGGTGACTATTTTTGAAATCTTATTTGACAGAGAAACATAGTAATAAACATAATTCTTCAGTTAATAAAAGTAGATTCAAAATAAATAAGCTAGTCTGAAGAACTGTCATTTGCTCTTGGAATACACATTTTTCTAAGGCAAATAAACTAATAATATGCTTCCAAGTCTACTTCAGAGAGGGCTGTAGCAAAGCATAGAAAAATAAACATTGTCACAAACTGCTGTAAGAGAACATTAATGCATATTTTTTACTAAAATAAACCTTCTGGTTTTGGCAAATAAAATTGAATGTACGACTAACTTCCCAGTCTAGATTTCATAAACATAAGAATTTAGAAGTTGATAAACTAATGGACTTTTAGGTAGAATTGCTGCCCATGCTGAATGTACAAGGACCACTTCACCCTGAATATTGATAAAGAAATTGTTAATGTAAAAAGGCAGATAACAAGGGTGGGATTTAAAGGTTACTATTGGCTTAATTGAGAAAGCCCACCTCAGAGAATAAAAAAAAGTGTAGTAATTTAGCATTCTCTGAGGATGACTAGAAGCACTCAACCAATTACAAACATTTTATAATAACACAGATTTTTGAGCCTGGAAAGGATTGATATTCCCATTCCCTCCCACCTGGAAAGGATGATATACTCTGCAGATGTTCATTGAGGGTCTCCTAATTCAAACCTGCAACTAGTGGTTGAGCTAAAACTTACATAAAAAATTACGCAGCTGATTTAGAGGCTTCTATCTGTAGTTAATCACCATTTACCCTCACTGCAAATATGTTTGCCAGTCATCCTCAAACACATCTCTTTTACAATGTCATATAAGCAGACTGAGAGAACCAGCAGATGTTGACCACAGAATCATAGAACGCTTTGGGTTGGAAGGGACCTTTAAAGGTCACATAGTCAACTGCCGTGCACTGAGCAGGGACACCATCCACTATATCAGGTTGCTCAGAGCCCTGTCCCACCCAACATTGAATGTTTCCAGGGATGGGGCATCTGCCACCTCTCTGGGCAATCTGTTCCAGTGTGTCACCACCCTCGTAAAAAATGTCTTCCTTATATCTAGTCTGAATCCACCTTCTTTTAGTTTAAAACCATTACCCCTTGTACTATCATTACAGGCCCTACTAAGAAGTCTGACAGCCCCAGGTTTCCTATAAGCCCCCAGGTGTCTCTGGAGCCTTCTCTTCTCCAGGCTGAACAACCCCAACTCTCTCAGCCTTTCCTCATAGGAGAGGGTGTTCCAGTCCTCTGTTCATTTTTGTGGCTCTCCTCTGGACTCACTCCAACAGATCCATAGAATCATAGAATCATAGAATCATTTGGGCTGGAAGGGACCTTTACAGGTCATCTAGTCCAACCCCCTTGTGGTGAGCAGGGACATCTCCAACTAGGTAAGGCTGCTCAGAGCCCCATCCAGCCTGACCTTGCATGCCTCCAGGGACAGGGTTTCCACCGCCTCTCTGGGCAACCTGTTCCAGTGCTTCACCACCCTCATGGTAAAGAATTTTTTCCTTATGTCAAGTCTAAATCTACCCTCTTTTAGTTTAAAACCATTACCCCTTGTCCTGTCACAGCAGACCCTGCTAAAAAGTCTGTCCCCATTTCTCATATAGGGCCCCTTCAGGTATTGGAAGGCCGCAGTGAGGTCACCTTGAAGACAATTCTGCAGGCTGAACAACCCCAACTCTCTCAGCCTGTCTTCATAGGAGAGGTCCTCCAGCCCTCGGATCATTTTCGTTGCCCTCCTCTGGACCTTCCCCAACAGGTCCATGTCTTTCCTGTGCTGAGGGCTCCAGAGCTGGATGCAATACTCCAGGTGGGGTCTCACCAGAGCAGAGCAGAGGGCAGAATTACCTCCTTCGACCTGCTGGTCACACTTCCCTTGATGCAGCCCAGGATGCAGTCAGCCTTCTAGGTTGCATGTGCACATTGCTGACTCATGTCCAGCCTTTCATCCACCAGCATCCCTAAGTCCTTCTCCACAGGGCTGCTCTCAATCACATCATCCCCCAGCTTGTACTGATGAAGTACTGAGAACTCCAGAGCTGAAGGCAGTACTCCAGGTGGGGTCTCACCAGAGCGGAGTAGAGGGGCAGAATCATAGGATCAGACAATCACAGAAACATACAATGGTTGGGGTTGGAAGGGATCTCTGGAGGTCATCTAGTCCAACCTCCCTGCCAAAGCAGGTTCACCTACAGCAAGTTGCACAGGGTCATGTCCAGGTGGGTTTTGAATATCTCCAGAGAAGGAGACTCCACTACCTCTCTAGGCAGTGTGTTCCAGTGTACTGGAATGTCAGTGCTCTGAATCACCTCACTCAACCTGCTGTCATGCTCCTTTTTTTGCAGCCCAGGATGCAGTTGGCTTTCCGGGCTGCGAGAGCACATCGCCAGCTCATGTCCAGTTTTTCACCCACTGGTTCCCACAAGTCCTTGTCTGCAGGGCTATTCTCAATCCCTTCATCTCCTAGCCTGTATTGATACTGGGGATTGACCTGACCCATGTTCAGGACATTTCACTTGACCTGTTGAATCTCATGAAGTTCATATGAAGTTCATATGGGCCCACTTCTCGAGTTTGTTCAGGTCCCTCAAGAGACCTGTATTGACACATCACCCTTCAAGGTGGTTGAAGTCCCCCAGCAGGATGAGAGCCTGCAAATGTGGTGCCTTCTGCAGCTAGAGTAAGAAGGCTTTGTCAATAGGCTGCCCTTGAACATGGATCTAGGATCCCCTTAGCCTGTAGTGAACGTCAACTACAAGGTTCCTTTTGTTGGCTCCATCTCTAATCCTCACCTGTAAGCTTTCAACTGGCTCATGGCTATTCTTCAGGGACAGCTCTTCACTATCTATCCATTTCTTGACATAGAGGGTAACTTCTGCACTCCTCTTTTCTTGCCTGTCCCTTCTGAACAGCTTGTACCCATCAATAGCAGTGCTCCAGTCATGAGATTCATCCCATCAAGTTTCAATAATGGCAAGTAGGTCATAGCTTTCTGGCAGCACAGTGGCTTCCAGCTCCTCCTATTTGTTGCTCATGCTGTGTCCATTGGTGTAGAGGCACTTCACCTGGGCTGCTGGCCATGTCATTTTTTCAGAAGAACACACCTTCCTTTAAGGTATTTCCCCAGTGCTTCCCTGTTGGCTGTTATTACCTCAGAAGCCCCTGGCTCCTCTCTGTAAAATTTCAAGTGTGCTTCAATGTACTCGGCACGTCACAGAGCAACAGGCTGAGCGGCCTCACCAGCACCACGTCCCTCAAACCTTGGTGCATCATCCCATGGCTTTTCATGGGCAAGTCTGATGTTATCCTCTTCTGCCTTCAGGTCTAGTTTAAAGCTCCATCAATCAGCCTCGCTAGCTCATAAGCAAAGACCCTCTCCCCTGGTTGAGAAAGAAGCATCCCATCCAACACCAGCAGGCCTGGTGCCACGTAGACCACTTAGTTACTGAAAAATCAAAAACTGTGTCCACAACACCAGCCACAGAACCACGTATCAATAGGCTGGATCCGTCTGTTTCTTCCAGTATCACCGCCTACAATTGGAAGGATAGAGGGAAAAATTACCCCTGCTCTGACTTCCCTTATAAACTGTCTCAAGGCCCAGAAATGTCATTTGATTGCCCTTGGACTATGTGTTGCAGCTTCATCGCCACTCACATGGAAGAGCAACAATGCGTAATAGTCCAAGGGTCACATCAGGCTAGGAAGTTTCCTAGGCAGAAGGAACTGCTAGGAATGCTGTGATAGAAGAATGGGTATAAAAATAGAAGCTCTAATCGTAGTAAGAATACAACAAATTTTAACTTTATGTACATGGGTATCCTTCAATCATAAACTGTGCAAAATAAAGTAATTGCTATCTGATTATCTAATCCGCTCATCTATTTTTTCTGAAATTTCATTCACCTTCACAATGCTTACACTTTACATCTCCCAGGTGCTATGTTCTCTTTTACCCTCTTGCATGTCACCTTCTTTCACAACAAACATTCCATTTTCTCTTTGCAACTCTATCCTTCCCAAATCGACCTCGCCTTCTAGAAGGAAAAGTTTGTAAACCTTCCACACCATATTTCATATGCTATCTCCTACCATTAAGTCTGTGTTGTCTATCCATATCAAAAACTGTCTGCAGGAGAGACTCTTTTTTTCTGTTAGATGTGCCTAAAAAAACATGACCATGCATTTTTTTTGTATTTGGCCAGTACTGCAGTGAATGAGTTATTCAAAACAGAGGAGTGTAACAGTTTGGGCAAAAGAATAAAGCTCTCTGTGCTTATGCAATTTCCTGTGCTTGGTGGAAATTTGACTGTAAATGAAAACATAATTTTTAGCCTTAATGAAAATGTAGTATAGGTTTGTTAGGGCAAAATATGGTTTTATATGTGGCATACCTGAAAAGGTATGAAAATGTGAGCTCAGTTTCCAATCAGTTTGCTTTTTCATAAGCTAAAAAAAAATCTGTTGTTCTTTCCAAAATTTTAGAATACACAGATAAATCCTCCCTTCCTACCCCCGTAATCTTGAAGTATTCCTGAAATTGCATCATTTTTCTTGAATAAGATACTAAACTTATCAAAGGAAGAATTTATACACATTAACACAACTGAAGAAAATGAAAGATTTTGTGGGGGGATATAATGGAAATTTGAAAAAGTCTGAGTTTTTCATATTTGATTTCAGGTCTACAGAGACAAGAAAGCACTGATCTGCAATCCCATTTACCTCCACTTTCTGTGAAAGCACAGCCTGGTAAAGAGAGATTACAGACGGTTTGAACTTAATTGTGTCAGTAGGTCTAGAAATAAAGTGAAAGGTCAGAAAAACAGTGCGAAGTGAAAAGCAGGATGGCAGATAATCATTATGGAAATCAAACATACTTCAGGACAGACAACTTCTTTTTCATTTTCCATGGTTTGTTCCGTAGTGTAGCAATTAGTTTCTTTTTTTCTTCTACCTCTTCTTTCAGCTTGGCCAATTCCTCCTCCGTGATCGGCTCCTCCTCCGAGTCAGAATCAGAGCTTCAAACACAAGTAGGAACAAAATCCATCACCAAAATTCAGAAAGGACAGAAGTTTTCACTGAAGCACATACTTGGTGTTAATTCTTGTTAACTTTGAGACCTAGATAAATGCCATTCTTGCACAGAAGGGAGGACACAGTTCACTTGAACTTGATATTAATTTTAGTATGGACACAAAGGGCAGAGCCGCAACTGAACCAGCACTACACCCAGAGCATCCCACGGAGTTTGGGCAGTGCTCTTGCTGAAGTGTCTGACAATCACTGGTTTTTCCTGCAGGATTAACCAGCCTCCTAAGAGTCTAACCCAAACTCACAATGGGACACTATAATTGCAGCCACAAAAATGTTTTATCAGCAAGAATATTTATGAAAAGTTTCAAAACAAACGAATACAATAAAAGCAAAATTCTTTTTGCAACAGAGCAAAATATAAATTTCTGATTGGTCATCTACCTTTAGTTTTTATGAAGCACACATCATTATAGCAAAAGTTATAGGGGATCAGTTTAAAAATTTCAGTCATGCAGGAGTAAGTTAGCAAAGGAAAGAAAGATGCTCTCATAGTTATCAGTTGCCTTGCTTTTAAAGACTCAAATGCTATTTTTTGAAAAACTGTTACATTAGAAAATTGAACCTATCAGCCACAAAATTTCAGAATTCATGTGATAAAAAAACGTGTCACACAGAAAATGTAAATCTACAGAAAAAAAGAATGCTACTGAACACCGGATATATTGATTGTTATCATAGTATTGCAACAAGCAAGTGAAGAACTACATGAAAATTTGAGTCAAATGGATGAAGGTCAACAAAAAGATCTGTGTACACAATTTTGAGGCATTATAATGCAAAAAGAGTCATGTCTTTAAGAAGAACAGAAAGATTAATGGAATCTGGTTTTGAGAGAGCTTTTTACAAAGCAGACTGCAACATACCAAATATTGAGGATTTCCTTTGATAGAAGATTGCTGGGTTATACAAAATTTAAATATGCAGTTTTACTAGACTGCAGTGGGAGTGGTGGGAAATATGAGTTGTAGATGATAATGCAGTGAGCTTACTGAAGAAAAGAAGTTGAACAGAATACAAGACATAAAGTAGGGATGATATTGGCTCTTGTGCCCATTGTCTAGTACTGCTTTATTTGCCTTTGCAAACATAGCTCATCTTTCATTTTTTACTTTCCTTTGCAACCAGAAAAATAATAAAAATTCCAAATTTCTAACAATCTTTAAGAAATCAGTATTTTCAAGAGTGTTTACACTACACAGTCAAGCTTTAAGTAGTTACAGTAGATTTTTCCTTTAGCTCAAGTGATCAAACAGTATGAGATTCAAGTCAGGCAGCCAGAATTCTGTCTTCTCCAACCTAAAGTTTCAGCCTTTCATCAAAGGTTATGATTCATGCATTTGAAGGCCAGAAGTGTTCACTGTGACCTTCAGAGTAACACAGAGCACAAAGCATCATTAAATAATTTCACATCAAACCACCATCTTCCTTGGCTCCCATTCAATGCACATCATGCATCTTCTCCTAAGTTAGTAGAGCTTTTGAAATCAATGGTGCTTCCTTGAATCATACACATAATGAACTTGCTCATACTACTCATCCATGTTTTGATTTTATGCCTATATTATACACCTGTGTTTTGGTTGTAGTTTCATCTCCTCTTTATGGATGTAATTGACTTTTCTCGTTATTTTTGTAAAAGCCTTTTTATAGAGGTAAAATTTAAGATGAAAGTGTTTTCTTGGAGCTTGGATGTTTTCAGGAAAAAGACTAATAGGACTTTAAGAGTGATGAGTGAATAAATTTGACTACATTTCTTCCTATTTTTTTGTGAAATTTCTATTGTTTCTCAATAATCCCCATAACATCCACCAGCAGTTAGTGCTCTTCAGCAATCTGCTAGCAAAAAGATGCAGTGCCTGTCCTGCCTTAATCTTCCATGTACCTCTGGACTTTTGCATAAGCTTTATAGTCTTAAGTAATCCTACCAAAAATCAGTTGATTTGCTTATATATAGAGCTACACAGTAAAAGCAGAAACTGGACAACAAGGTAGAATATAAGATTGTTCTCTGAGGATTTGGAGCTCAAGTGACTGCATACAGTTTCTATCTAAGAGCAATCAGTCACAATTAGATCAGCCAGTAAAGAACAAAACAGCTTTTCAACCTAGGAATACTACGGAACTTCACAGTGAGACTATAAGGAGCAATTTATTATTAATATTTTGGGGACAATGATTATGAACAGTGTATAACAGGCCCTCCTCACACCCACATTAACAGGTAACAATCAGCCACATCAATAAACCAATAGCACCTAAGGGCAGAAGATTTAACACTCACCCAGAAATAACTGCTCTCACTGTGGAACTACCCTGTGAACCTCACTACCACAAATTAGCAGAGATCAAAATAATCAGGTAAAAAAAAAAAAAAAATCAACACAGAGTTCATCTAGGATTCCTTTATGTCCTTTATGTAGAATAATTAGGGCATAAAGAGGTTTTCCTGATTTAGGTGAAAAGTACGGAGGATGAAAAGGGTGAGAGTAGCAGATTCTACTGACTTATACTGCAACCTAGACAAAAGGGAATTGTTTGTGGAGTTTAGCAAAATCCACAATGACAGCAGCAAATGCAATACTATCTCCCTGTGGAATAATATCACATTTAATTCTACTTTTCTTTTTGTTTTGAGGGGGGTTTTTTAAGGTTTTTTTTCTTTCTCAAATTGTTATTTTACTCTTACCATGCTTTTTTATGCTGAAATGTCTCAGCAATTAAAAAACTACATCAGCAAGATGAATATTTAAACAGTATATAGCATTTGTTGTGATAGGTCCTCAGGGACTTTCTAGACAGGCTGTATTTCCATGCTGCCACCCTTCACTTCTGTCCTGATGGTTTGCGAATCCTTTACCTGAATCACAGCTGAGCTGATCACCAGCCTACATTCCTTTGTTCTTACACGATTTTTGTTCTTCTTTTAAAAATCTTTTAAAAGATGCCTATATGTATTACTCTGCAATCTTGTCAGATGGTCCCCTAAAAGTCTAAAAATATCATGTTCTTGAGGTATCTTCCAGAGTATCCTCAGTTTTTCCTTAAATGTTATGCTTACTACTTCAATAATAAAGTCTTAATTGAGGTAGAAATTTCTAATTATTTAACCCAAACATATGCATTTTAATGTTACAAACTTTGGAAGACAATTAAAAACTTTATGCCCTCATTCAATTTTATATTTTCAGTGGTCTTTTTTTCAATTAATGGTCAGTAAATGTTTACAATGGAAGACAATAACAAGCAAAGGAACATGAATTGACACATTCAGGACTGTTGCTACAGAAGTACAGCAAATTGCACAGAGGGGTATAATTTGCACCACAGTGTAGTGCCAGCACAAAGAAAGATTTTAGGCATTCTTTTAGGAAAGGGAAGTGAAGAAGAAGTATATTGAAATGGGATAATGGATAAATTAATGCAACAGCGTGTCTCACTGTATTTTTTTCTTTCCTTTGACTCCTACTGTGCTCTCCAGTGATACCTTTGGGAACACAAACAGCTGTAGCAAGTGCTGAATCGGGAAAGGGGAATCTCTCTCCCTCTTCACTGAGATAAGCATGCCTAGCTCCATTTGCTCCATTATACATCGTTCCCAGGGGTTGTTTTCTTTCAATAGTGCAAGTCATAGGGAGCAAGAGAGTGCCAGGATGGCAGAAAAATACAGAATAATTTTCTGAAGTGATCCATGTCAGTGGGGTCTTCCAAAGACCCCAGGTTCACAGAATCACATAATTGATTTTGTTGGAAGAGACCTCTGGGATGATTGAGTCTAGCCTTTGCCCTAACACCACCATGTCAACCAGACCATGGCACTAATTGCCACGTCCAGTCTTTTCTTAAACGCCTCCAGGATGGTGACTCCACGACCTACCTGGACAGCCCATTTCAATGCCTAACAACTCTCTCTGTGAAGAAGTGCCTCCTAAAGTCTAACCTGCACCTCCCCTGGTGCAGTTTCAGACTATGCCTTTTTGTCCTGTCACTAGTTGCCTGGAAGAAGAGGTCGAACCCCCCCTCACTACAACCTCCTTTCGGGTAGTTGTAGAGAGCAAGAAGGTCTCCCCTCAGCCTCCTCTTCTCCAGCCTAAACAACCACAGCTCCCTCAGCCGCTCCCCATAAGACTTACCCTCCAGGCCCTTCACCACCTTCGTTGCCCTTCTCTGGACTCGCTCCAGCAACTCAACGTATTTCTTGTAGTGAGGGGCCCAAAACTGAACACAGTACTCAAGGTGCGGCCTCACCAGTGCCCAGTACAGTGGAACGATCAATTCCCTTGTCCTGCTGGCCACACTATTTCTGACACAAGACAGGATGCCATTGGTCTTCTTGGCTACCTGACCACACTGCTGGCTCATGTTCAGCCAGCTGTCAACCAGCATCCCCAGGTCCTTTTCTGCTTGACCACTTTCTAATCACTCTTCCCCCAGCCTGTAACGCTGCATGGGGTTTTTGTGGCCAAAGTGTAGGACTTGGCACTTGGCCTTCTTGAACCTCATGTCATTGCTCTCAGCCCATCGATCTAGCCTGTCCAGGTCCCTATGTAGAGCATTCCAACCCTCCAGCAGAGCGACAGTCCCACCCATCTTGGTGTCATCTGCATATTTACTGAGGGTGCCCTCAATCACTATGTACAGATCATCTATAAAGATGTTAAACAGCACCAGCCCCAAAACTGAGCCCTGGGGAACACCGCTAGTAAACTGGATTTAGCTCCATTGACCACAACTCTCTGGGTTCGGACGTCCAGTCAGAATGCATTAAATGCTTTGGAAAAGTGAACGGTAATATTTCAGAGGGAGTGAGTCAGAGACAGACTGGCACATACCATCTCAGTCCTTGGTTCTGGGTTCTTGAAATGTTGGCACTGATCTTTTGTAAAAAGCTGGCTCAAATCTGGATGGGAAACAAGAACTCATTCTTGTGAAAATTGTCAAGATTGTAGGTCTGCACTGGAAATAAAATTAGAACTTGGGTTTTTCAAGGGGTATTAGCTTGGGGGAGTTTGGGGGATTTTAGTTTTGGGGAAAGAAAAAAGCAGAAGAGATTTCATCTGTTGCCACCTCTCTCTATCATTTGCTCCCATCCTCTGTCACTTACACTGCCTTTCTCTAGAGAACAGCTCATAAAGTTAGGATATTTAACTACAATGAGGGTGACCCTGGCTTGAGCTCCTGGTCTGCCTGACCAGATTTGACCTAATTCTCAGGGTACTGGCAGTCCCAGAGGGCTGGGCAGGCCCTTTCCCAAGGTCCCACCCTGGACTTGTGACAAACCCCTGACTTTGTTCCACTGAAGCAGATATGGCTTTGTGGAAAGTTTCCATTTCACTTAGCCGGCATTTCCTCACTGCCAGGGGAAAAAAAAATTAATCTGTGCAGCTCTAATGGGGCTGTAATGAGTAAGGGAGTCATACTGATTCTCGGTATTTCACAGCTATAAATGAAAATAGGTTTTATGTAAGATAAATATAGTTTTATATTTAAAAAATTTTACTGAATTACCCAGATCCTGATTTCTTTTTGTCTTTCTTCTTCTTGTTGGCCTTCTCTTTTTTCCCTTTCTTATCAGGCTTTTTGTCTTGTTTCTTCTCATTTTTGCCTTTCACAGTTTTACCCCCTTTCTCATCTTCCTCTTCTTCATCATCTTCCTTGGACTTCTGATTTGCCTGGTTCTTCCTGGCTTTCGCAGTGTCCCCATCAGAATCACTTCCCTCATTTCCAGCTCCTCGTCCCCGTCCTCTACGGTTTCTATGCCTGCGATGCCCAGCTCTTCTTGTCCCATCTTCATCATCCTCATCCTCTTCACCACCATGCCTGACTCTCCCTCTGGCATGTCCCCTTCTGGTTCTTGGTGTTGCTCTCTTCCCTCCTTTGCCTGTGGTGGAGAAAAAAAAAACACATGAGAGAAGACATTATGTTAGAGGGAGACCTTTCTTCCTCCTTCATTCATACAGATAATCGGGAAACATCTGAGAGTGGTCTGAAAGGAATCCACATTACTGACCTGTTCCTTTGACATTTTCTTCATTCTCAGCTGCACTGCCTTCTTCATTGTCAACATCACTGTCATCTGTGGAGTGAAAACAAAGACCAGTGCACGTGGAGTGTAGACCAGTCATTAGGAATGCAGGGGTTTCAACAAATTCTTGGTAACTACTGAACTGTACTCCATTACACCTTTTCACAAGCCCTGCTTTTTGGAACACGGCAAATAGTTTCCAAGAAGTAAGATGAAGGCAGAAAAAATAGTTACACTTTCCTTCAGCACTCAAACAAGTAAGCTCCAAAGTGATGCCATGAAGAACTCCCTCTCATGGAAGAAATATATAGGACAGGAGGACCCTCAAAAAGAAACAAAATAGCAATATCCTACAATTTGGGGAAAACAAGGAAGATGAAAATGCTTCCCAGGTAAGTCTCAGAGATTTTCTGAAACATAGGAAAGATAAGCACTGACTGATATTAAAGAAGACTAAAATAATCATTTTCTGATTTGATTGACTAGAAAGCATGAAGCTTCATAGCCACAGCATGGCTGAAGAGCACAGTCCCAGAAGAAGGAGGAGACTTGCTCTCAGTACCAGCAACCAAATCTCTAAGCATAGTGACAAAAGCTGACTCAGTTTGTTTATATGCTGTAGCACAGTCCACTTCTACCACAGAGGAGATGATAAAAATATTTGAGATGAGAGAGAGAGAGCCTATTTACAGAAACAACTTGTATCTCTGCTCAGAAACCTCTTTGGTTTGAGCTGGATCTCTTGCTTAAGTTGTTCAGTCTCAATAAGTTCAATAAGAGATGCTGTCTCTGCTACCCATCAATAACCAGGAAAGTATGCAATCTGTTTGCCTTGTACGCTTTCAAACTGGGATCATGCACATAGAGAGAAGAAAGAAAAATACTCCTCTCTTTCATACGCATTGTATCAACCATAATATTCATTAAATAAGCTCTCTGCAAACATTAGTACGAACATTTACTTAACAAGTCTGAAACTGCTAGTGGTATTCACCAGCAAGTATTTTTCAGAAGCAATCCAACTAATACCTGAGAAGCCAGGAGCTAATAGGTTCTCTTGAGGTATCTTTGAACTTGTACATGTGGACAGCACTTGAGACACATCAGTGGAATATATAGAAACACACAGTAATAGGAGATTAATAAGAAGCCTAAGAAATATTACCATAAATAGAAATAGGCAGCTACCATTCAAATCCTGTATACCATGTAAGTTCCAGACGTATGTTGTCTAACATCCTCTCTGTACAGCAGGACAGGTGACATGTCATGATCCCTATAGCTGCATTTTTCAGGTAAGAATAAACTACAGTTATCTTCCTTTTTTGCTCATCTATAATGCTTTTGAATTTTTCTCTATATTCTGTCATTCTCTACCCATTCCCTAGTTCCCTGCTTCCTTTTACAAATTTTATTAAGCCACCAGTGATCCACTGAAAATTTCTGCACAAATTGATTTATCTAGGGACTGCTGTAGCTAACTATCAGGCACAACTTCTTAGCTTTACCTAGTATCAAAGAAAAGCTGTAAAATATGAAAGGCTGCAAACAAGAAGGAATCTAGGGTCTTGTTTCACTGTGTGCAATAATGGGCAAAGGGTTATTATCCAGAATTTGACAGGCATTTTAAAACTGAGATATAAGTAGGGAGTCTAAGTTCCCTCCAGAAAATATTTCATTGTAATTACATTTCATATCATTTCCACAGCATCTGCACAATAATTTTTTAAGACTGTGCAAAAATATTATCATTCAATATCATCAGTGGAATGTGAAAATAAGTGTTCCTTTGTTCTGTCTGGACATACACCTTCTGCTGCTGACAGTAACAGGATCTCCATTTGACAAAGATCATTACATCGCTATTGAAAGCTTCCAAAGATGAAGACAGACACTTCTAAAGAGGTACTTTGCATGCAACAGTAGGGCATGGTCCTTTATTGCAACTAATGCTTTTGCTGACCTCCCTAGCCAAACAGAAATTCCCAGGGAATCACTTTAACGGTGCAAGATTGGCCTCACTGCAGATTCTTGTGGGCCCATATAACAAGCAAACAGCTGGAGGTTTATCACATATACTGAAACATGCATGAGCAGTGAATACTATTGTGCTCCAGTTGACATCATACTGACATCATAGTGAAAGTGATGATGGACTATGATGCAACACAGAGGCTTAAGCAGGGCAGAAGTTAGCTGTTGGAGTTTAATGAATTCTAATAGCATAAGGGTAACACACGCTAGTCTGGATCCAATATTCCAGGTAAAATAAAGTGTGAAACTAATTAATAGATTTCAGGCTGCTTGAAGGAAGTACTGGGAACACTACTAGAGGGCAGGGTATCTGAATAGTGACTCCTGTGTGTTCATGTCTTTTTCTCATCTAAATGCTCAGGCACATAAGTGATAAAGAAAATGTTTTTAAAGAAATTAAGAAAAAACATAAAAATAAACAGAGGTATATAATGCCACAAAGCAAGACTGGAAAAAATGACCAGTGATTTCATGGAATCATGCAGCTAGAAGAGTAGTGGGTACTACAGACATACTTAACAAGCACAAGTGCAGCTTCAAAAGTTATTTCTGCAAAAATTTAAGATTATAGCTCCAAACTGAACTTCAGAACATTCCTGCCTCCACAGTCCCAGGTTCGTACAGACATGACATGCATTGAAATGAAGAATGTTAGAGGTTTGTCCTTCTCATTCTGGTATATCCACAGGATAGGAGATCTCTCCCAGGTCTTGCGGTATGATGTAGGAAGCATTGCACTAGACTTTATTATTAAAAGAAGCTGGAAGTCAAGGATGACTCTCCGAACTTCCCATTTCCTCGCACTCTACTATATGTCATGAGCTGTGTCACTAGCATAAAAGCTGAAGCTCAGGGTAGAACTAAAAGCTATTCACGTGTGTCAGCTGTGATAGCAGTGAGTGCTGTTTAAAAGGAACAAAATCACTGAGGAGGGGGGATGAAGGAGCTTTACCACCCCTGAGGTCTGTCCTGAACAGTGTATATGCATGCATTCATGTAAGCTACATAGCCACACCATGCCACACTCACATTACAGCTATCCCTGGAGACTTGTGATTCAGACAAACTGCATTAACAATTTTTTTTTATGTTTGAGGGTTTTGCACATATCATTAAAAGACCAATGTTGTTAGGTGGTTGGGCATTTGAGCAGTAAGAGAGATAAATAAACATTACTGTACTTAACATCATTATTATTATTATTATTATTATTATTAGAAAGCTATTTCAGGTCATTAACTCTGTAATAGTTTCCAAAGAGGAAAGCAAGAGACTAGGCATCTCATAACCGAGCACTTTGGGTGCTAGTGGCAAATCCTATTTTACTGAATTATTGGAGAAGCATTTCAACAACACACAAATTACATTTCATGGTGACACTAAATCTAATGCAGTTTAGCACTACATTTAACTCTATTTCTATAAACTACAACATAAAGAAACAATAGAGTGCATTCTTCAGGCACTGTATTATCATCCTATAGGAAAACCAAAGAGTACTTCTGATGCTCTAGTTTGTTAAAATAAAAACATATAGACTTTGATGCAGGAACAAAATCATCACTATGTGGAATCCTTTTAGGTCAATATACTTGTCTTCTGATTTTTTAAACAGATCTTTATGTGATCCCACTTATCAAAAGTTCAGTGAATCCTCCATTAAAATCAAATAGATCTCATTAAAGTACTGTCTAGAATTACTCATTGTTCCAGAAAAGGGTTGATAGGACCTCATTTCTTCATGGTATTAGTATTCATAGGGCTAAAGCAGGTTATTAGGCTTTGAGTCAGCTAAGTTGAGTTTATGGGACCTACAGCAAACTATTGCTCAGCTGTTACATCTTCCAGAGTACCTCATTCTGCGTTAATGATATATATGTCACTAAGTATATTTGGAGCTATACTCCATAACTCCTTATGCTGTAGGAAACCCAATCACTTTCTGATTTTTTTTCCACAGTAGTTTAAGGGAAACTTTCTCATCTTTCTAGACTAAGAGCAGGGAAAGTGTAATCTGAGTAAGCTATCATTTTACCTGAAGTCTTATTTATGTTTTAGACTATAGCCACAAATGAGCCAACAAGACTAAAGGAGAGTGTCCTGAATATGGGCTCAAACTAACCTGCAAGTCACAGACTGCAGTGAAGACAGAACACCAGAGCGCTCAGGAGAGAGCTCAAAAAGTTGACATGTTGTCTGGTGAGGAAATGTATAAAATCATAGATGTCTTTGCTATATGAGGTGGTCATTCAGCAGATTGTGAGGGCTGTTGTATCTTTATCTTATTTTCCCAAGTTGTTTGTACACCACTTCTCAGAGAGTACTACTCAGATTTCATACTTTGGATTTTTTTTTAAACTTATTTTGTACTGACATAGTTTCCTTGATTTTTCACTGTAAGAAGGATAATGATTCGTGGAACTACCCCATAAAATATGGCCCATTCTTGTAATATTATTGCTCAATTTACTGCTGTGTAAAACTAACTGCTGCTAAGTAATTATGTGTGCTAGTGTCATAAAAAAAATTTCAATGGTATGCAAAGTAATTTGTAATTCAAAAAATTATATCAGACTTTTTATATATGTTCCAAAATAAATTTCTACTTTATTAATTAATTGTCAAGCCAATGAATGGATCATATGCAGATAGAGCCTTGCAAGCAATTATTATGTCTTCCTCTGGACTGGACGGTGCTGGACTTTTTCCAGTGGTGGAAAGACATCAACCTGGATAGATAATAAACTGTGTGCCTAACATGTAGAAATGTCAGTAGTGCAAGATCATACTAGACAACAAATGCATCTGAAGTACTAGTCAAAAAGAACAGGAAGAGTTGTATAACACTCAATTCTAGATCTTTACCTATGTTTCCATATCATTCTTTCCGATCATGTAAACATGAGAGTGTCTCACAAGACTTCTGTGAGGAGAAATATCACTAGAAGTAACATCTGTGAAACACACCAGAAATAATATACCAAGATCTCACCGAAAGTCAATGGCAAGGGCGAATTGGTGCATATTTCAACATCCAAGATTTGAGACTTTAAGACTATAGATCCCATCTTCTTAGTGTATTTCCAAATATTGGGAAAAACAGCTTGGCCCACCTTGGGCACAGGAGAAAAGGAATTGAAACACAGAAATTACAAATAAAAATTACATTTATAGAACCACAGGAACACTTAGTATTGGAGACCATGCTTGATTTTTCTTCTATGTTTTTCCCAGTTAGTGTTGCCATTTTTTCTTCTAGTGGAATAAAATAAAAATCCTAACTCAAAACCAGTATCCTGTCCAGCAATAGCTATTAATTTATGAAGTAAAATAATGATTCCTATTCAGTTACATTCACACTAGCAAATACAGTGTTTATTTTTCTGCACTTGAATTGACAAAGTTGTAAATACTAAAGAAGGCAGAATATTCATACTAAAAGTCATAAAGTCACTAGTGTCTCAGAAGATTTATTAGTCTTAATGTATATGCAGTGGCCTGCAGACTTCTACACCCAAAGAGTTTCCAGAAGATGCCTGAGGGGTACTAACCTTTCCCTCTCTGCAGATTGCCACTGAAGAGAATTTGCCTAACTAATTGTAGCCCAGTCAACATTTGAAAATTACAGATGGGGAGCACAGGGAACAAATGAAATCCATTCATTCACATCCATAAACTGCTCATTTGTTTTCTACTGGTAAGGAAAAATTACAAATGTTCGACTAAAATGACAGAGACTGAGCTCATATAGACTAAGTTGGCACTGTGGCTGGCATTAGGCACATCATCTGATTACACTCTCCTCTTTCCAGTTTCCTTCTGGGCTGTACTTACACACCATAAGGTCTGAGTGTTGTCACTCAGTTTGAGAGTCAGGACTTCTCTTAGGCAAAGTTCCCCTTCAGGGAGAAATAAGATTATTGCATGATTTCAGTGCAAGAATTTTAGGCCAAATCTGATTTTGCTATCATAAAACCTACGGAAGGTAGAGGAGGAAGATAATTCAGTGAGAAAACCCTCAGTATTTTACTCCTTTTAGGAAAGCATGGATAAAAGTTTCCAGGCTGCTGTGTCTTATACCATTTCTGTGAATACACCTGCATTTCCCTACCTATGCCAGAAAAAGATCTTACCACGTAGTGTTTTGTCCTATTCAAGGCTAGAAATTTGACAAGCTTGCAGGACCCGTTGGTTACTGTAATAAAACAACACGGAGAAGCCACATTTGCTTTGTGTCTTCATCATACAGTTGGCTTGATGGTGGGCAATTTTTCATTTTCATTGCAGTCTTTACTGTAAGAATTAGGACCAGAATATTAAGTGTCCGATGCATTCTGAGAAGTATGAGACTGTAGTAAATCATACCAATCTGACCTTTTCAGGTTCTGAAATGTGATTTACTTAGCTTATTGTTGTGCATTCATAGTACTGTTAGCATGGGAAGAATACATGTTAACATGGAGAAAACAGCTTATGTTCAAGTTACAAATGTAATATTCTTAGTGGATTTGAAGTCAGTTGTATTTTTGACTACCTCATGAGAAGACAGCTCTTTTAAGGTTGATACCTACAGCTGACCAGTTCACCTCATATTGTCTTTCTTATTTTTAGATAATAATAGGCATTTTCCATCTGATCTCTTTTAAACATCCACTCTGAAGATATGTGCCCTAGGTCTTCTTCACCTCTATGAGAAGCCTAGAATAATGAATTCACATTCATGAACCATACAATCACATAATGAACCATACAACTCCTACAATCATAGATTTTGCAGAAGACGTGCTATGAAACAAGAAGAATGGCCAAACCAGGGCTTCATTAGAGGTAAAGATACCAAAAAGCAAAAATGCATGGCCCTAGTCTGCATTTTTGCAATTGTTAGGGTGGTCCATTCTTTGCAAGAATATTTCTCAGGACTGTCAGCAATGATGAAACAAAACCTTCTGTAAAGAAAATGCAACTAGATTAGTGCCTGAGCTCTGTGTTGACTAACTCCAGCCCTTGGAACATTTCGAGTCAAAAGTGGACTGAGAACCACATTGTGAAATTGTCTCATAGTTACCTATAATGGAGCTCAAGTTTTTTAAGTCTTCTTAAATCAAGATGGAGTCTTGAATTTACTCACAGGATCTCATCTCCAAATATATCCATAACTGTCATTAAGTTGGATTAGTTTTTATTATGTTAGATTTTATTATGAATTATGTACAGGATAAATTTTCAGTCAAAATGTGTCAAAGAGTGATCATGATTCTGCAACCTAAAGATCTCAACCTTCTCCACTTAAAAGGTGTGGGATTTTTGTTCACCATGGGAATGCTAACTTCTGTACTTTGAATGAATAATAAAGTCCCTGAGTCAGAAGAAAAGTCAATTCAGTCAGATATCTGCAAATAGAAGGCAGATGTTTACAGTAAACTTAGAACCTTGATATTCTAAGAATTTGTCCATTAGAAATGCTCATAAAAATATGTAACTTCTATAGTCATGCGCATTTTATTTCTTATTCTGATAAAAATTCTGTTGAATCTGGTAAGTATTTTGCCTATGCTACTTTAAATTCTCAGCTTTTCTCATGTTAAAATGAGCTCCATTAGCACATACTGCTTGAAAATCAAACTGATCAGTAAAGGAACTTGTAGAAAAAACTGAGGCAAAAAAAAAAAAAAAAAGTTCTCAGACAGCAAAAGGAAAGAAAATAGGATAGACTCTTGAAATGAACTTCATGTTATATGCTATCAAAATGCTAAGTAGTCTCTTCTGATGTTTTCTATGAAAGCAGAACCCATTTTATTACTATTGAACATTACAAGTGTGGATTAAAAATATACAAAACACTGTTTAGTAGTACCAGACCTGGTACTTAGCAAGACCTAATGAATTCATTCAGAAACCAGTCTAGAACAAGGTCCCTGGCAATTTTCTTCCATGCTGGAGATAAGAAATGTTATGCTTGTTCCATACGAAAAACATCCGTATTTTGGAAAGAGTAGTATTGCCCACAAGAATAGAAAGCACTTCCCATATCAAACAGTTGCCCTGTGCTTTGCCAGAATAAGCCATTAAGCATCATCATCCTATATTTCTTACATCCAGAACAGTGCAGTACAGAAATATTAATCTTACTATGAAGAATATTTAACATTTCATACCAAATACTGAAAGCAGTAAGAAAAGGAGGCATTGCCTTTTTGCAGCTTATGGAAGTCACAAAATACCCTTGTTTTCTGAATCTTCCCTACAAAAGACATAAAAATGTAAGACAAGTAACAGGGTTGTGGTTGCACTCTTTTGATTTACTAGCCAGTGGAAAGCCACACTACCATGCTAGAACTAGCCAACTTACACAGCAAAGCCAAGTAAAATACATTTCTGAACAAAAGATAATGAATTGTGAATAAAGAGATTTTGTATTAGAAAGAACAAGAAGAAAACAAAATTTGCACACTGTTGAGCTACATACAGAAAACGAATACATGTTTAAGATGCATAATTATAGTTGTAATTACCATTTCCTTCAATGGCAGTTGGCTTTTCATGTTTAGGCATCGTGACTATTTCACAGGGCTGCTCCAGCTGCTACCTGTATAAGAGATCATCTGAAGGTTGAGTGGTTCAAGACGAAGTGTACCACATCAACATCGTTCTGTCTGTCACCAAACGGATGGCACTGGTGAAGTTTCACTGAGTGAAATATAAGAAGATACTAATTTCCTAAGTGGTTAATCTTTCATGAATGTTTAGTTTACTATTTAGGGTTGGCATGCTAGGATCAAAAGAATGGAAGCAGATGTTCACCTTCTTCACTATTATTACTGAAAAAAAAAAAAAAAATTCTCCTGAAGTGTACTTACTTATGACTAACATTAATGTTTAGACTTAAGTGCCTTACTGAGCAAGGACGTTGTACATTATCCACACGGGCACACTCTGATGCTGTATACAGGTCTATACTTCAGCATGTGGAGGACATTATATGGACTTTTTTTTCTCACAAAAGACAGCTTTTACCTTAGACATATTGAAATTGGATAGCTTTAACAGCCTGACACTGATTTGAAAAATTCAGCAAAAGAAGCCAGATGTTGATACAGCTGCTGGTTTATATTTGCATCTCCTTGCAGCTCCTAAAGGTTCCTTGCATCTGCCTTTATGCAGATGTTACATTCTAAGTTTACCAGTTTTACCTTATATCTACGCCACCAGACAAACTTAATGGTGAAACAAAGCAAAAATTTAATTAACAAGACAGGTCAGCCTTGGAAGTAAAATATTTGAAACAACTTGTTACAAATCAAACAACATTAAATGCAGTTCCTGATCTGTATTTAACTAGATAACTCCTCCATAGCTTCCCCAGAATTCTTCATCTAGAATTCTTTCAGTGTGACCCAGCTTGAAAAAAAGAGTAAGCATCTGCAGAATACTCCACATTCTCAAATGCACCTGCATGGTTTCTGAATCTTCTTACTCACATGACTATGAAATCCATTTGTTTTTCTTTGGAGATGTCATTCAGATGTCTGAAGGAAATTTATCTGGAAGTTTATCCAGTGATGCTGGTTACCTTACCTTATCATTTTCAAATTTTAGCATCAGGGTTTTTTTTGGAAATGCTGAAAATATTTGTGAGTGTTGTTTGGACTGACTTGAAATTCAGTTTACAGACAAAACATATCCAGGTGTCTAGTCATATTTCTATTAGAACATTAACATCCTATGTTTCAAATATTCCCAAAGAGATTAAGTCCACATATACAATTCTGAGAGGCCCTAGGCCTTTGTCTATAAAACATGTTTTCTGAACTAACATTATTTCCTTTACTGCATTCTCATATTAGTCATTATGTCACATCCTATGTACTGTGCTTTTATATTCTTGGGAAAGACTTCTAATGCCAAAAAGAAATGTAAGAAAGCATTCAAATTACCTCTGAAAATCCATAGTTAGACCATATATAATAAGCCATGATTTTAAGAACTCAGAAAAAGAATAATCAAATTCTAAAAATTCAGTTGGTCAACTTCTGTACTTCTTTAATAATGGAAATAAAAATACCTTGGGAGGGATGACGAGTATGGCATTCGAGTTAATGATTCTGCAAGTACTTGTAAAAAGCAGTGAAAGAATCGTAACATGATGTTTCACAGCTGCAGTCAAATCAGGATCATAGCCTTGATGGACCTGTGTAAGTCTTCATCAGAAATTTAAGTTAGTAATACCTCACTTTCATTTATTGGAGTGTTCCAAATTCCAAACATTGGAAAGTATTTGACTGGATACATCGAAAAAGAAAGAGACGTACATTGAGGGCTGATTTACTAATATTACCAAAAAAAATTGCATTACATCAATAACGAAGATGTGAAAGTAGTTTTCAGAAAGATAGGTAAATAGAAGAATTAAGGTCATATATGCAGTCTGAATGTGGTCTCTGGGTGAACATTTGCTAAAATATAGATGAATTGCACACCCGATTTTATCTGTTTCTCAAGGTCTCCTGACTCAGACAATGATCAGATTTAGTTAAATACTTTTACCACGGTGCAACTTTTTGGTGTAGACAAGCCAGATCCAGGCTGGTTTGTGGTTTACATTCTTGGCTGCAGGAGTTAACCGTCGCCATGAGTTCCACCACTTGCTGCCTTTCCCAGAGTACTACTAAACCTATCCATGGGGCTGCCCTGTAAAATCGGTCACTAATCAAAGCAAATAATCATTTTCTTAAGTCATCTTAGTGCAGTGATCCCATCCACAGCACAGGCCCACAAACAATTGTATTAGCATAGAAGGGGGAGGCAAATTGTGACATGATGTGGGAAAGGGCAGCCAGGGTCTGGAGGCAGAAAGACGGTGTAAAACTTTGAAGACAGGCTTGCTACTGGAGATAACATAGCATGGACCTACATCCTGTATTTCTGTTTAACCTTAGAGACCAAATACTAGGCAGAGATTGAGGACAAACTGTACCAATTTAACTCCATAGCACCCTACTGCTTCTCTAGTACAAATAGAAATACATGCATAGAGAGCATGGACAGTTTTCATTTACACAATGTTCTCTTTACAGCACATCAGTCTTGGGGAAAAAAAAAAAAAAACAACTTTAATTTAGCTGTATTTAAGAGCAGTTAAATCAGAACAACACATAGATATTTTAATGTATAATAAATTATGAAAATGGCTGCAGTTCAAATAGGTTCAGAGAACTAGGTTCATTCCTGAATGAGTTTGTTGAACACTGCAAAAATATCTGTTATTAGCAAACATGCCACATTTCTGTTTCTTTGTTCAAATCTGTGTGTCCTTGTCAGAGACATCATATATTCAAATGTTGAAGCATGCGTAGTACACAAAAGATGAGGATGGAAATACACAATTATTCCTTTACCACAGCTGAAACTCATGGGAAAATCTGTAATGAAGGAGAAATGGAAAGTATTGGTCCACATACTCTTCCTCTTACCACTAAACTGACAACCCATTTGATAGCCATCTACCAACCAGATAAATCTATCTAAGGGAAATAAAGATGACATCAAAGAATGATGACGTTACTATGTTTGGTACAAACATCGGTGCCTCAGTAAATCTGCAAGCATTAATTTTGCTTGTATTCAGCATTTAAGTTACAGTGCCACAAGTCTATTCATAAAGAAATTACCGCTGTCATTTCTTTCCTGCCACTTCTGCACATCAGCTGTAAACCTTTCTACCACAATGAAACGCTCTGAGTGTTGATTTTTCCATGTGTCAAGGTGCATTTTCCATTGGTTTCTAAATATTCTGCAAAACTTCAGGGAATAAATGATTTCCTATCAGACTTTGTTGCTAAATGTGACTCTTTTCAGGATAGGATTTTAAAATGCCATTTTGTTTTGAGGCACACAAAAAGTATCTTCTGCTCCGTTGAAGGACATGATAAAATCAAGCAATTCTGGAAGTAGATATGAAAACAAGCTGAAGTCACGGCACTGTAGCTGTGCCAGTGAAAATGCCTTTTTCTACGTAATGTAATACTTACATCGA